AGAAGTTAATAATAATGATTTAGCTTCATTTGTGAGAGGTTTATTTCGTTGACATATTTTAGGCCTGAAACTTGATAGGTATGGGTCAGACGATATTAACAAATTATTGATAATATCTTCATTTGTTGCAATCCTGCTAGATTTACGCGAGTGGAAGGTTCTGAAGTTTTTAAAATCTTTGTTACGAGCTTCAGAGGCCTCTTCAGAGAGCTTGCCGATTGGTATAAAGTTATTGTGCTCTATTATATCGGCACCATGAATGAGTAATTTATGCACGCTTGAGGGCATATAATACCATTCATAAAGCTCGACATATTTGCGTGCTGTAGCAGCACAATATTGGCGGAATTTTTCCACGTCCACAAACTCTCCACATGAGATAGCCTGAAGAATCACTCCAAATCTTCTAACGAGTTCTTCATCAACACCCGTTATTTGAGCAGTAATTTGAGGATTAACAAAAAATCTTCTTGCTGTGTTTCCATCGTTGCTTGTACCAGCCCCTTGTTTAACAACGTCCACAAGTAGCCCCGTTTCAGTCCGGAATTGTTCTTGAATAGCCTTTTTTCTTTGGCTTAACTGTTGCTTCAAATCTTCGCCCTTAGCTTGCCATTTCTTGAAGTCGAGACGGTAAGCAATATGTAAGATACATTCCATGCATCTAATTCGTGCATGGAGGGAAGACAGACCGAACTTAAACATGTCTACAGACTGGGTTCTCTGAGTAACCTTGTCGATATCATTCATTTCTTTTGGTTTTGCTTTGCATATATCGCATGTAGCTGTGGATATATCTGATAAATGTGAAGTTATTTTACCATCAATCATCGTCATATGCAGAACGTGTTTTACATTTGCACCATCGATAACAGTTGGATGTAGAGCAGCAATTTCCGTATCAATTGAAGTCATTTCTTCTTTAACATTCAAATCGTTCTCTTTAGCAAACTTAAAATAAATGGGTCGACAGTAAAACGTTGAAGACGCTTTGGGGTTTTCCCATATTATTTCATCAGTACCATCTCTCACCAGTTTTAACGGCACAAATGACACAATAAAAGCAAATAATCAGTAATTATTATAGGCAAACAACGGCAGGTAATGACTGTGGGTAACCCTTTGAATTCCTCAAAACCTGCAACAATAGAGTTTGTATTGTTTATATGTAATGATGCTCTCGTTAATGGCGCGCGGCTTTTAAGCGATTGTCAAACAAAAGATTAAATTGTAGGCTTTAAAGGACTTCATTGTAATTCTTTACAATATTGTATTCTTGTTTTCTTTTTCTTAAAACTATTTCTTTTATCTATTTATATTAATTCCATATCTTTTGAATAAGGACGCTTTTATTTAAAGTTAAGTTGTATGGTGTCGTTATCTACACACATCAAAAGTGTCTAGGGATCAAGCATTTTTATGCGGATTTCTTGAGATTGAGATGTGGCTTTGTAATAAATTTATGATTTTATAAATTTATATGGATCCTTTTTGGTGCATTTCATAATTTGAATCAGGAACTGTGAATCAAATTCGAGTAAAAGATGAAAATCAGCTGTCAATATTTTCCCTATAAAAACATACAACGCATTGAAGACATTATTAGTGCTACTGTTTCCCTACTACTGATTAAAACCAACGTTATTATGGAGCGGCGACGTCATTTAAGCAGGGAAGAAATGCTCAGAGCCGTGGGAATGATAGAAGCTGGTTCCCGGCAACGTACTGTGGCTTTAGCTCTGAATACAAGTCAGAGTGTTATCAGTCGACTTTGGACACGATACCGAAGCACTGGTACCGTGGCTGAGCGCCATGGAGGACGGTATCGCTGCACCACACGGAGACAAGACCGATACATTCAAATCTTAACTCGAAGAGCTCCAACAATAACCGCCATGATGTTAGCCGTGAGGCTTCATCACTCTTCAGGGAACTTAATTAGCGACCAAACAGTCAGAAACCGCTTGCATGAAGTGAACCTTCATTCCCGAAGACCGCTACGGGTACCACCTATAGCAATGCACAATCGTAGGATTCGATATCAATGGGCTCTTGAACACAGAAATTGGGCAGAAGAACAATGGCGTTTCGTGTGCTTTTCTGATGAGATGACACTGGAGAACCCCTGGACGCCAACAGCGATTAAAATCCTGCCAGGAAGTCCATCCTTATAGTGGTGGAACCATCATGGTATGGGCGGGTATTTGGATCGGCGGAAGAACTGAGTTGATTTGGATCAGAGGCAACCTCAACGCTCAAATTTATGCTGAGACGATTGTATCAGACGTCATCGTTCCTCTACAAGTGCAAATCGGTCCCTTATTTCAGTTAATGCATGATAATGCACGACCGCACACCGCAAGAGTTGTAAGACAGACTCTCGCCGCAGCTAACATCAATGTCCTGCCCTGGCCTGCTCAGTCGCCAGACTTGAACCCGATTGAGCATGCATGGGATATGCTACAGAGAAGAGCTCTGCCGAATATGGAGGGTATCCAGTCGCAAGAAGACCTTTTTTTGTTGTTGCAACGAACATGGGCGGCCATTCCACAGCGTGATTTGGATGAACTCATTTTGAGTATGCCAAACCGATGTTCTTGTGTTGTTAGTGTTCGCGGTAGAAATACGGATTATTAATTGTTTAAGTTACCCAATAAAATTTTAGAGAAAACTGTTATTTCAGTCTTTTTTTCGAACTTTTGTGTTAGTGGTTCAAATGTCAAAAATCCCTTTATTAGGAAAATGGCAAATTTCTTTATTAATGCAAAGGTGACTTGGTTTATCGTTACTGTGACAAACGAAAACACTTTATTTGATGAATCCTTAAAGAAATTTTTAATTAATATCAATCAGGAGAAAAGTTATTGCAAAAATATTATGTTGATCCCTAGACACTTTTGATGTGTGTATATATATATATATATATATATATGTATAGTTTTATTAGATAATAATCTGCGCTGTATTAATAACTAAATGCTGGGCAAGAAACATAAACAAACTGTTTATTGAGACACATAACCCCGTAAAGCAAAATTACCCTAATAAGCATTTTGAAAAAATCGTATCTTTTGAACGGGGCCGTCCGGGGTGAAGGTCAAAGGTCACATGGCTTTGTAACAGACCCGGTAATAATCCCTATTAGTTTCAGCTTGACCGTAGAAGACCGAGACAAGTTATGAGCAAAACAAATTCCGTTTTCATACATTTGAAACTCTAAAGCCCGTGCTTTATGGTGTTAGATTAAAAGGAAATTCCCCAAACTATTTTATTATTCAATGTACTGATATGTCCAATAAAACCGCATACCTTAAACGGATAATAAACATTTTTATTTTTTCAAAAATCCTATGAAAGGGGACCTCTTTTTTCACCCACTGTGCGGCGGCCCAATCGCGTGGGCGTTAATCGAACGCGTCGGATAAATAACGAGTGTCGAACGATTTGTTCCACAAAAATGATTATATTTTCAGATAGTCGAAAAAAAGAAGTAGGCGGTAGCGTAATGCCATACTTCTCGGGTGTGAGTTACAGCCCGCCATACCGACGCGAATACATTAATTTAAATAAAACAATTCAACCATTTGTACCAGGCTAATTTTTGCACAGCTAATCATCGTCGAGTAACCATTCACGAAAATCACCTTGCCATACTTTTCCGACAGTTCCCAATGGCCGCCATACCGCTGCAAAGGAGTAATTTTTTTTTTTTTTTTACAATGGTGAAGGCCTATCAAAAGTATTTATTAATCTGGAACAACGGAACCAAAGCGTGATTCAGGAGACTACAGCGCCATCTCTTGACCATTGGTGTAGTAGAACCAAAAACCACATCTTTATTTTTTGTAATAAAGTAACAGTTATAGGTATTCATATTTATAATATTTATCCACATGTTTCTAGTTTGTATATTCGGAATACGTGTTTGAGTTTCATACAAGTGCAAATCACATATGTTCTAATAAATTATATTCAGTAGCGATTTTAATTGAATATTTTGATTATTTATTTATTTTTTCAAATTAAAACTGAACTTTATTGACTGTGTCCTTTTCCAGACTTTTTATTAATTTATTGTAATTAATTATTTGCATGCAATTAAAAACTAATTTTAAACGATGCCAAAGAAGGATAACTTCTCACGCGCCTACATAAGTACACGCACCCATTTTTTTCATTATATTTCATATATTATTTAAATATTTTCCAAAACACAAATGTTTGTAATCTAAAATTACTTTATGAATATCGATGTTCTTTAACCAGTTTTTGTTTTAAACGTAGGGAACCCAAATTAATTCAAGTTTTGCTAAATAATGTTAAGCCAAAGAAAAAAGGCTTATGTATTGATGATCTCTCCGTGGCTGAAGCAAAAAGCTGTAATATATCTGATTCTCTTGCGGAATTACGGGACTTTGGTAACTGTCTCAAAATTCTACAACAGAACATACGTAGTGTGCGGTGTAACATGGATGGATTTTTACCTGTTCTGGATATGTCTTCAGTGAGCTGGGATTGTATCGTGTTGACCGAGTGCTGGTTGCGATCGACTCAAAATATTCCATCTATTGAAGGTTACCTTCACTTAGCTACAGCAAATTATATAACACAAAATGAAGGCGTAGTAGTGTACTACAAAAAAGAAATACAATTATTATCGATAGAAGAGATTAATATCCAAGATGCAAATTGTTTGCTAATTTACTTCAATAAACACACAGTAGCCTTTGCTATATATCGCCCACCTGGTTATAAAAATGTAGCTGACTTTATTCACTCTTTAAATATAACATTGCTCAAATACTCTACATTCCAAAATATAATCATTTTAGGTGATATCAATATTGACATTGGACGTGACAGTGTTGACTCGGCTTCCGCAACCCTCGGCTTCCCTTCCCTCCGGACATCTGAGGTGATCAGACGTGTCTAAGTTACATTCCACGCGCAAATAATCTGTATTTTTGACTATTAGTATTTTAAGCAATAATTAGTCAAAATAATAGGAGTGCATAAAACGCAAGACCTTACTTGGTGACTCGAGTGAACTGCGCGCCAAGCTCCGCCCAAGCATCACACGCACTACACACGTAAGAACAATCATCGTATATTACTGTCTCCGTTACACATTGTACCGGCCAAGTTATACCGGACGGAAAGGTAATTTGTACTAAAGCGCCGCGACCGACCAGATTACGTGGACCCCACTAGTAGAAGAATTCGTTGTGCTAAGATTACCGTTCTTTAGACATTATAGTGTTATATATTATAGACATGCCTGTCGATCGCACCCCTCCGCCACTATCGACGCTTGCGCAACCTATACAACATAGTCGCTCTGAATCCGACTTAACTACTGAGCTGAGCGTCAAGGGGAACAAAAAGAAACACATGTAAGCCATCGCGCAAAGCGAAAACACCCTGATGACAACACCGACTCGCAATTAACATCTTTTATGTCAGAAATGAAAGCTATGTTTATCGAATTTAAAAATCAGCAAGAGGAAAAGTTCAACAAATTTGAAAAAATGTTCTCTTCTTTTGAGGAAATAAAGAACCAGAACAATGAAATACGTAACTCCATAGACTTTTTGTCGCACAGTTATGATTCTCTTGTGGAACAAATTAATACACTTCAGGCGGAACGTCGTGAAAATATTCAATACATACAAAAGTTGGAAGAAAAAATTGACAAGTTTGAAAGTGGTTTGAGATCCACTTGTATTGAGTTAAGGAATATTCCACCAGTTAAGAAAGAGTCTAAACAATCTTTATTAAGCACTGTTCTACATACCATAAATGAAATTAATATAAAAATAGAACCACATGAGGTAAAAGATGTTTTTCGTCTTTCTACCAGAGTCTCAGAAAACCGGCCTATAATTGTAGATTTCATCAGTGTCTTAATAAGAGACAAAGTAATTGAAAAGTTCAAAATTTACAATAAAAATAAAGGGAAACTCACTACAGAAACCCTTAAAATCAGTGGTCCCGCCAAGCCAATTTTTATTTCGGAAAATCTTTCAACCAAGATGAAAAAGTTATTTTACTTATGTCGTGATTTTGTCAAATTGAATAATTTTAAATACTGTTGGGTCTCTCACGGAAAAATTTTTCTGCGCAAAACCGATGGCACTGATCATCATATGATTAAATGTGAAAATGATTTAACTAACTTACAATTGCAAATATGACTATCTACTTTTATAAAACTAGTAATGAAATATAAATATGTTTATACGCACCGAAAACCTATTGTTATCACAAAATATTTAAGATACAACCTTACTCTAGTAATTGTAAATATTTTGATTTTTGTTGTAATTTTGTCTTGTGAAAATATTTTCTTTGGCACATACACACAACTAATCACAAACACACGTCAGACTTACACTACATTTTTACACTATCAAGTATACATTCCCATAACAAAATATTTTACACATTTATTTTTTAAACCCTTGATTATATTTTTACATATACCAATGCCAAACTATAAATTAATTATTGATAACTGCATCTTTAAGTTTATTATACTTACTCTCCCTGTTACTGAGTTCCAGACGCACCAGTGTATAATCAATTGTTTTTGCACTGTACGTTTGTTATATCAACTATATACAGCCTTTGAGAAACCTAAAATCAAAAGTTTACATATTCCTATGACACTGAAGTCATTCTGTTATCACAGAAATTTGTATTGTTTTATTATTTACTTTGTATATTTTTTATATTTATCTTTTTTAAGAAATAATAAGTTAACAAATACTTCACATCATGTCAGAAAACTTAAACATTATAAATGAAATTGAACAAATACATGTATATAAATTCTATAACTGTTGTCCTGAAGATTGTAAACTATATGTAGATGAAACTTTGTACCTAAATATTCTTCAGGTAAATATTAGGAGTATAGGCAGAAATTTCTGTAATTTATTAACACTATTACAGCGTATATCTATTTCAGTCGATATAATAGTCTTGTTTGAATGTTGGTTAAGCGTATGTCCGTCTTTGCCGAGTCTCTCCGGCTTCAACTCGTGTATGACTTCATATGGTAACCAAAACGAAGGAGTAGTAGCATACGTCAGAGAAAACCTTCCGTTCTCTTTCGAGGTACCCTGCTTTAGTGGTGCTAACTGTTTAATTTTAAAATTTACAGATAAATTAGCAATAATCGCTCTATATCGCTCACCATCGTATATAAATACTGATGGTTTCATGAATTCGCTGGACGCCACCTTAAAAAGTATTGGTAATTATCCCAGTATTGCTATTGTGGGGGATATTAATATCTATATTACTCCAGCCAACACAGATCCCAATTCAGACTTATATTTGAATATTACTGCGTCTCATGGTTTGCTGCCAGCTCATGATTTTCCTACAAGAGGTCGTAACTGTCTTGATCATGTAATACTCAGGACCAAATCTAGCGCTATTACATTTGTTTTGGACTCATTTATTACCGATCACGCACCCGTAATACTTTGCTGTGGCCTAAAACTTAGGTCAACAAACCCTGAGCGCTCTCCCAAGCATATCAATATAGAAGCATGTACCCAGGAGCTACAACACGTCGATTTCTCATCTATTTTCTCTTGCCATGACGCAGATCAGGCTACTAATAAACTTGTTCATTTAATTTCATCCATTGTAACTAGATATACAAATATAGTGTCGACCTCAAGTAAAAAGAGAATAATTAAGCCTTGGATCACACCAGGTTTGTTAAGATGCTTGAGAAACCGTGATAAACTATCTCATAAAACAAGAAAATATCCTGATAACGTGATTCTAAAGATTTCCTACATAAGATATAAAAACTTCTTAAATAATTTAATAAAAAGAGTATATGAACAAGCTGAATTTGCTAAGACAAAAAATAATCCAAAAGCAACCTGGGCTCTTATAAAAAAGATAGGCAACATTAATCAATCGAGCACACATGGCGATCAACTGCTTTCACTTTCAAATGACCCAAATTGTGCAGTAAATGCAGTAAATCATTACTTTGCCAATGTTGGCAAGGATTTGGCTCTCAGTATTTCTGTACCACAAAATGCTGTAATATCAGAAAAAAATTCACCAATAAATTCAATGTCCCTTTTTATTACAGATGGTAAAGAAATTGAAAGCATTATTAATGATTTAAAAAATACTTCTGCAACTGGATGGGATCGGATTCCTACTGCTATAATTAAAAAGCCAAGACTTCATTGGTCCCTGTTCTTGTGCATGTTTTTAACCTGTGTATCACGTCCGGTATTTTTCCAACAGCTTTCAAAAAAGCCCTTGTACACCCGGTTCACAAGAGTGGGGACAAGGGCAGTGTCACAAACTATAGGCCTATCTCGGTTTTAACGGTATTATCTAAGATCCTGGAAAAGATCCTATACAAAAGACTCATCAATTATCTTGATGCAAATAACATTATTGCGCCAAATCAGTTTGGTTTTAAGAAAAATAAATCAACCGAGGATGCAGTTCTACAACTTAGCGAATCAGTAGTTAGGAACCTTGAATCAAAACTCAAGACAATTGGCGTATTCCAGGATCTTTCTAAAGCCTTTGACACTGTCTCTGTCCCTATTCTGATTGAAAAAATGTCGAGGATCGGTGTTCGGGGTGTTGCGTTGGATATTTTTAAAAGTTATCTTGGTGAGCGTTCGCATTGTGTTAGGATACACAATTTTACAAGTCAGGATGAACATATCAGTTACGGTGTTCCGCAGGGGAGTGTCCTAGGTCCTACCCTTTTTAATATCTACATCAATGACCTCTGTAAATTGATTCTTCCAAACTGCAAAATCACTGTATATGCGGATGATACTGCTATGATAATCCATGGAAGTACCTGGAGTGAAGTTTCTTCAAACGCTGAATTTGCACTACAGGAAGTGATTAAATGGTTATCCATAAATTTGCTAACTCTCAATTTAGACAAAACCAAATTCATTACATTTGCAGCACGTTCACACTCTCTTCCATCTTCTTCTTTTACCATTCGCGCTCATCAATTACGAGTAAACGAATGCAAAAACTGTAGCTGTTTGCAAATCCAGCGTGCTCCTCACATTAAATACCTTGGTGTTTGGGTTGACGCTGTTTTGTCTTGGAAGGAACATATTAATACTACAGTAGCTAGAGTCAGGAAGTTAATGTTCATATTTAAAAATCTTAGAAATGTCGTAGATTTGGGAACTCTTAGGACTACTTATTACGCTCTGGGGAAATCAATTATATCATATTGCATTGTTGTCTGGGGTTGTTCAGGTAAAACTCACCTCCTACGTCTGGAAAGGGCTCAAAGGGCTGTTATTAAAATAATTAATTTCAAACCAATTACCTTTCCAACATCTGAACTCTATGCATTTTTTAATGTTTTGTCAGTTAGGCAGATTTACTTACTTAATGTAATACTACGTAAACACTCGCAGATGCCATATGATGACCATGTTTCGTTGAGTAGACGTAGACCTTACATTTTGTGTAAGGCAGGCAGTGTAAGATTAAATGTAGCTAGACGCCACTTCTGCTTTATATCTTCTGTTTTATACAACAAGGTAAACGGAGTTCTGAATATATTTCCTCTTACTCTTAGAAAATGCAGGGTAAAAACTATGGAATGGCTTCAAAGCCTGACATATTCTGATACAGAGGCATTATTTGGTGCTTTATTGGGTTTGGTCTGATCATCTAATGTAAATTTGGGCTATACATACCTCACACACACACACACACACACACACACGCTCACATACATACACACACATTTAATTTCTTTTTTAATATTAAATTAGGATTAAGATTAAAATTATTGTAGCGAAAAATTGTTTTCTGGAGGTGGGCGTTAATAACTGCGACACAGTTTTATAACTAATGCAGTTATTATCGATCACTATTATCGATCGTTATTGTGTCTTTGTTATGGTTTTAATAAATATTTCATTTCAACATATCTGGATATGTTGGCCTACCATGGTATACTTCCTGCACACACAAGTCCAACTCGTATAAAAACAAGCCTGGACCATGTTATGTTAAAAACAAAATCTGCTGCACGTTGTCTTATATTCCATACAACCGTAACTGATCATTATAGTGTTGCTCTTTATATTGCTTCTAACCACAAATATAAACCTGATAAGTTAATAAAATACCTCGAAGATAATAATGGGTTGCAATTTGATACCTTATATTCAATGACTGATTGCAATTTAGCAGCTAACTATCTTGTTGAAACCATTAAAAACATTATAGTTGCTAATACCAAGTCACGCAAAATAGCAAGGCGCAGAAGGAATCTCAAGCCTTGGATAACTCCAGGCATTTTAAAATGTATAAGAAATCGAGATAATTTATATAAAAAATACAAAGCTAATCCTGAAAATAGTATTATTGCAACAACATTTAAAAAATATAGAAACTTCTGCTCTGCAATTATAAAAAAGCTAAAAACAGACTATGAAACACACCTCCTAAAGAGTGCTAATGGTAATAAAAAAAAAAGATGTGGGACGCTGTCAAAAGCATCGCATGTAATGTCACTAAAAAAGAAACAGCTTCAGAACTTCTAGGAAATAAAGACCCTCAGAAAGCTGTAAATGATGTTAATCATTTTTTTGCCAACATTGGAAAAACCCTAGCAGATAAATTTGCAGTAGAGATGGCTCCACAATATCAGGCTAGTGATGTCCGTAGAACCTTTCTAAAGTCGTTTGTACTATTGGAAACTGATAATAATGAAAAAGAATCATTAATAAGGAATTTAAAGAGCGACTGTGCGGTTGGGTTGGATCTGATTTCTGCAAATATTTTAAAAACATATAGTGGAATTCTAACTGCGCCAATAACATATATATGTAACCTAGCTTTATCAAACGGTTCTTTCCCAAATGCGTTTAAGAAATCAAGAATCCAGCCCGTTCACAAGAGTGGCAGTAGAGATTGTGTCAATAACTACAGACCTATATCCATACTCCCGGCGATATCTAAAATTCTAGAACGAGTAATTAATAACAGATTAGTTAAATATCTAGAAGAAAATAATCTTGTATCACAGGCTCAATATGGTTTTAGGTCAAAAAGATCTACTGCAGATGCAGTACATGAACTTACAAATTTTATAGTTACTAATATGGATAATAAAAAGAAAACTTTGGCTATATTCCTAGATATTAAAAAAGCGTTTGACACAGTCTCTATTCCCCTCTTAATCAGAAAGCTTGAAGGACTTGGTATAAGGGATGTACAGTTGAAGCTTTTCAATGAATACCTTTCCAATCGCACTCAGTGTGTGAAGATAGACGAGATACTCAGTGACGAATTACCTGTAACTTACGGCGTACCACAGGGAAGTATAATGGGACCCTCCTTGTTTTTGGCTTACATAAATGATCTGTGTCAATTAGATCTACCCCATGGGAAAATTGTAACTTTTGCTGATGACACAGCTTTACTTTTTAGTGGTGACTCCTGGGACGAGGTATATGCGAATGCTCAAAATGGATTTAATATAGTAGCAAGATGGTTAAGCAATAATATCCTAACACTCAATGTCGAAAAGACCAAATATATAGCATTCTCCTTGAGACATGATAAATC